GACTTGCCAAATTGTGTGCGAGACATCTCACAAATCGAGGCTTCTCCATCGGTATCGGTGATGTCTTCCCCACAGAGAAACTGCTCGAGAGAAAGAGCACGCTTGTCAAGGGTGCGAGCATCGAGGTCGATGTCCTCATTGACAAGTATAAGAAGAACAAGCTCGACAAGGCTACTGGTTGTAGCATGGAAGAGACGCTAGAGAACTCCATTTCGGGTCTTCTCAGTAAGGTCAGAACGCAGGCTGGTTCTCACTGTATCGAGACGCTCAGCAAGAACAACGCCCCGCTAGTCATGGCCAAGTCTGGATCCAAGGGTTCGGAAATTAACGTGGCCCAGATGGTTGCCCTAGTCGGACAGCAGATTATTGGTGGCAAGCGTGTCGCCGATGGTTTCCAGGACAGAACGCTTCCTCACTTCCACAAGAACGCGCCTCAGCCGCCGTCCAAGGGATTCGTCGAGAACAGTTTCTACTCTGGTCTCTTGCCTACCGAGTTCATTTTCCACGCCATGTCTGGTCGTGAAGGTCTGGTCGATACCGCTGTCAAGACGGCCGAAACTGGTTACATGTCACGCAGACTGATGAAGTCTCTGGAAGATCTGTCAACGCAGTATGACGATACTGTGCGGACTTCCGGCGGTGGTATCGTTCAGTTCCAGTTCGGTGCCGACAAGCTGGACCCCGTCGACATGGAGGCCTCTGCGAAGCCTGTCAACTTTGACCGAACCTTTTCTCACGCCGAGAATCTTACCTGGGATAATGACGAGGCTGCATTGCTCCCCAACGAGATGGTCAAGCTCTGCGACAACTTGCTTGCTCGGGAACGCGCGCGCTATCCTAGAAAGTCCTTGTTGGGTGATCTGACTCTTGATTACGATAACGAGGAAGAAAAGTACACAGACGAGCACGAAGGTGCCAGAGACTTTTTGCGATCACTAGAGTCCTACATTGCCGGACGAGCTAACAAGCTTGCCCGTGTGATGGAGCTCACCGGCCTGACAGCCAACGCTGACAGCATGGACGTCGACATTGATGAGGATGAGGTCAAGGCCAAGAAGGCCTTTGCCGACAAGGTCGCCAAGATGTCCGAGACGACATTGCGACTCTTCATCAAACTGTGTTTAGAAAAGTACAAAAAGGCGCACGTCGAGCCCGGACATGCCGTCGGAGCTGTTGGTGCGCAGTCTATTGGTGAGCCCGGTACGCAGATGACGCTGAAGACTTTCCATTTTGCTGGTGTCGCCGGTATGAGTATCACCCAGGGTGTACCCCGTATCAAGGAAATTATCAACGCCTCCAAGACTATCAGTACACCCGTCATCACCTGCCCGTTGATGCAGAACAGGGAGATGACAGCCGCGAAGATCGTCAAGGCGCGTATCGAAAAGACGTACGTTGAGGACATTCTGAGCTATATTGAGGACGAGTGGTTCGCCGAGTCGGGAAGCGTCGTACTCAAGGTTGATATGGATGCCTTGTCTGACATGCAACTCGGCATTACCCTGGGCGATGTGGCCGAGGCCATTTGCAAGCACAAGAAGATGAAGGTGTCGCGGTCCGATATGCACATTGGTGCTGGAAGAATCGAGATTCGCGTCCGCCTCGACGAGTCGGCGGCTTCCAAGCGATCTGTCAAGGCCAAGCCCGTGGATGAGCTTGGCGACCTTTTGGTGCGAGCCAACTACCTCCGCCGAACGATCCCGACCGTGGCCATCTCGGGCTACCCCGAGGCTACTCGTGCCATTATCCAATCGTCCGAGGACGAAACCCACACTGTTCTGGTCGAAGGCTACGGGCTTCTCGCTTGCATGAACACGGAGGGTGTCGAGGGACGAAAAGTCAAGTCCAACAACATTATGGAGTGCAGAGACGTCCTGGGTATCGAGGCCGCAAGAAGCACGATTGCCTTTGAAATTGGCGAGGTCATGGGAGACATGGGTATCGACCCGCGTCACATGCAGCTGCTTGCTGATGTCATGACATACAAGGGCGAGGTCCTTGGTATCACACGATTCGGACTGTCCAAGATGAGAGACAGTGTTCTCCAGCTGGCCTCGTTCGAGAAGACGCCGGACCATTTGTTCGAGGCGGCGGCCGGTATGAAGACGGATCAGATTGAGGGCGTGAGTGAGTGTATCATCATGGGCCAGACCATGACTGTAGGAACCGGCGCGTTCCACGTGGTGCGCCGCCTCGCCATGGAGAGGGGGGACGTTGGACAGCGCAAGACTATTTTCGAGGATGCGTGGGCCGCACAGACGGCACTCAAGCGCAAGACGAGGCGGAATGTTTAAAAGGGGATTACGGAGTTTTCAGAGATTTTCATGTGGAGAGGCATGGCATTCATTCAACCAGGAATTTTACATTTTTGTATACGGTTTCACAGAGTAGTACTTGCTGTCCTCAGACAGAGTCTAGTATAGGACGGAACGAAGACATGAAAGATCAAGGCGTGTGGCCTAAATATGCAGTGACGTTGATACACTGTCTCGAAATGTTTTAGAGTAATCTGCTCTCATCTGTCCTCCCGGATCTAAGCATTGAGCAACACCGAATGAAGCGGATAATAACGACGGTTAAAGGCCGCCATGCAGTCCACACCACCAGGCCGATGCCGGACGCCGTGGGGTTTTGTTTATCCCCAGAGCCATCAACAACGTCACATTTGGCTCCAAACCTTGCGCCTCCACCGCCTCGGACTTGTGTTTTTACTTGTTTCCCCCCCTCTGAGATGTTCATCTGACAAGACTGATATAAGATTAGCGCAACCAGATTGCGGGGTTCCAAGTGATGAGCTCCCCACACTCTTTCAACCATACGCGGGGATGATGGAGGTGAATTGCGGAGCCGGCGGGGGTGGGATCATGAATGAATGCAACGGTTCAGATTACACTCCCAGCATGGCATCTGTATAAGTATGCCGGCCATGAAAATGGTGTGCGCTGCCAGAGTGTTGGGACGCCTTTGAACTTGGCATTATCTTTCTGGGCTTCTTGCTCGTCACCATGCCGTCTGCTCCGCGTACGCTAAGTCTCCTTTTCTGGGCGGCAGGTTGTGCCTCTCAGGTTTCCGCGCAGAAACCCTCAAGCCAGTGCTCATTCGAAAGCGTGAGCGCCCTTCTTACACCAGAAAACCAAGCCGAGGTCTTGACGACTTTACAATTGGGCGACAATGGCACCTTTGGAGAGGCGGGCAACATCGCCTACCCCCAAAATGCAACGCACCTACCGCCCCTCTGCGCCATCTCCATCAACGTCACGTCCTCCCCAACATCGTCCTACACATTTGGCCTATTCCTACCAGATGAGTGGAACAATCGCTTCCTCGCGGTCGGAAACGGAGGGTTCTCGGGGGGTATCAATTGGTACGCCATGGGCACTGGCGTAAAATACGGCTTCGCGACAATGTCGACTTCCACAGGCCACAACTCGTCGAACCAGGATATGGGTTGGGCGCTCAACAACCCCGAGACAAAAGCCGACTGGGCAGGACGCAGTCTGCACGGCTCGACCGTCGTCGCGAAGCAGATTGTAGAAGGGTACTACGGCGCCGCGGCCAACAGGTCGTATTACTCCGGTTGCTCGACGGGTGGCCGGCAAGGCGTAAAGTCGGCGCAGGACCACCCGGAGGACTTTGACGGTATCCTTGCCGGCGCGCCGGCGTGGATGTCGACGAGCCAACAGCTGTGGCAGCTCAAGGTCGGGGCTGTGAACTTGCCCGAGGACGGACCCGGGTACCTCCCGCCCGCCGTGTTTGACACCATCAGCGACGAGGTTCTGCGGCAGTGCGACGGGTCCGATGGCGTCGTCGACGGCGTGGTGATGAACCCCACGCACTGCAACTTCCGGCCGGAGAAGATGCTCTGCAACGGCGGCGCGAGCTCGAACCGTTCCGCGTGTCTAACGGCGCCGCAGATCGCGACGCTGAAGCAGCTGTACCACCCGCTCATCCAGCTCGACGCCGACGTTCACAATATGACGTACGTCTACCCCAACTTTGGCCTGGGTTCCGAGAAGCAGATGCCGTCGTCCTTTGGATCAAACAACGAGCCCAGCCTCTACGGGACGGAGTACGCCAAGAATTACCTCTTTGACGACCCGTCGTGGGACTGGACGACGCAGTTCGACTATTCTACTTTCGTCGAGGCCGCGCGGCTGAACCCGGGTAACGTGAACGCGGACAACTTTGATCTCTCTGCGTTTCACGAACGAGGCGGGAAACTGGTCCAGTACCACGGCTACGCGGACGGCCTGATCCCGACGGACGTGAGCCGCGTGTTGTACGACGAGACGTGGGCGGTCATGGCGGCGCGGGGTGTTGATTTGGACGAGTTTTGGAGGCTGTTCTTCGTTCCCGGTATGCAGCATTGCTCGGGCGGGGTGTACGATGCGCCGTGGTACTTTGGCGGGAGCGGGCACGCTGCGGCGCTGGAGGGGAACGGGCAGCATGTTTTCCCCGTGCCTGGCGTGGATGATAAGAGGCACGATGTGTTGCTTGCGCTTGTTGAGTGGGTTGAGGGCGGCGGAGAGGGCGTGAGGGAGATTGTTGCAACCAAGTTTGTTGATGATACTGTTGATAAGGGGTTGTTGAGGCAGAGGCCGATTTGTAGTTACCCCGGGTACGCTTCGTGGGATGGCAAGGGAGATGTTGATGCTGCCTCTAGTTGGGGTTGTGTTGGTGTGTGAGGTGCGGAATTGCGAGTGTAGAGAGGGCACCAATTATATCATATTCTTCTCTGAAATTAAGAAGATAAAGCTTCGGAAAGAACTGAAGCAGGATGAGGTATCTCGTGATATCTCGACATGTGGTTTACAGATGAAGAGAGTCACGTGCCGGCGTGCATCTAGCGCGTAGATTAGTCACGTCCGTCGCAATGTCCCGCGTCTCGACGACGTCATCAATGCATATGAGCTATCGGCCATTAAACCATCCATCGCATCTCAGTACAAGTCGCTGCAGAAGAGATTCTTCACTTGTGATTAGCCGGTTAGTTGAGTAACATGTGCGGAAGATACGCTTTAGCCCTAGTGAGTCTCGAATTGTCCAAATTCCAAGAGCTCGATGACCTTGACTTACATTAACACAGCGGCCGTCGCAAATCCGGCGGATGCTGGAGGACGATGACATGCCAGTGGACGACGCGCCGGAGGACGAGGGTCAAGCATCTCCTCGTCAGACGTACAACTTCGCACCGGGCTACCACGGCGTTGTCTATCGCGCCGATGTCCCAGACCGCGGTGCGGGCCATGGCCGTCATCCAGGGAGCAGCCAACAGGATGGTGCCGCCTCAAGCCAATCTCATAGCAACGACAGCGGCGACAGCTCGGTCAAGTACAAGATGCAGTCGATGCAGTGGGGGTTGATTCCCTTTTGGACCAAGCGCGATCCCGGCTACGCCACGCTCTCCAAGACGATCAACTGCCGCGACGACTCGCTGAGCACGCCTGGCGGCATGTGGTCGACCATGAAGGCGGGGAAACGGTGTATCGTCGTCGCTCAGGGGTTTTATGAGTGGTTGAAGAATGGAAAGGAGAAGACGCCTCATTTTGTCAAGAGGAAGGATGGGCAGCTCATGTGTTTTGCTGGGCTGTGGGATTGTGCACAGTATGAAGGTGAGCATCCCGAATACTCAATCAGGTATAGTCACGCTGACTGTGAGATAGACGCCCAAGATAAGCGTTATACCTACACCATCATAACGACAGACTCCAACAAGCAGCTCAAGTTCCTCCACGACAGGATGCCAGTCATCCTCGATCCGGGCTCCAAAGAGCTCAAGACGTGGCTGGATCCGAGGCGGCACGAGTGGTCCAAGGAGCTGCAGGACCTCTTGAAGCCATTCGACGGCGAACTCGAATGCTACGCCGTTAGCAAGGAGGTCGGCAAGGTCGGCAACAATTCGCCTTCCTTCATCATCCCCGTCGCGAGTAAGGAGAACAAGGCCAATATTGCAAACTTTTTCGCCAATGCTTCCGCCAAACAAAAGTCCAAGGAGGCCACGAAGCTTGAGCCCACCATCGAGACGAAAGAGGAGCCCAAGGAGGCACAAGTCGGACAGGATCAGCCGGTGCCGGAAGTCATCGCCAAGGCGGCTGAAGACGAAGAAAGTAAAGAGGTAGCCGGGGTCAAGCGGGAGGCACCTGACGCTGGTGAAGATGCAGAAGAGGAGCCGCCCAGGAAGACGTCGAGGGTTTCGCCTGTGAAGGGAAGACAGAGCAGGATCAACCCAACAAGTAATGGGAGTAGGAGTCCGGTGAAGTCGAAGCAGGGCGGTACCCAAAAGATTACAAAGTTCTTTGCCAACAGCTCTTGATTTGTCTAATGGCGTGCGAGGGATGGGGGATGGATGAGAAACGGCTGGCTAGAGGTAAAACAGGCGTGGGTGACTGATGATTTGACAATCTTAGTTTCGGGGACAGTTTGAGTGGGGATTTTCTCTTCCGATCACTCTATGGGGTCCGCGGTGTCGTTTAGCAATGCAGACACGAGTCGCTGACAATATCTGCTCGTCCTGTTGGGTACGATGTAGATCACATAACAAAGTGTGCCCTCGTTATTACAGAACGAGTAGTTCGCTCGCATTTTTACGCATTGTGGAGACCAATTTTCTTATCCAAAGAAACAAGCTCAACATTGCACATCTTTCTTGAGGAAAAGGAACCTAAACAAAAAAGCATCCAAAGGCAGACTCGAACCCCCATGGCATGACCAAGATCTCTCTTTTCCCCCTTCCCATGAGCATCCTCGCAATGCCCACGCAGACAATACAATTACCTTGAACAAACCATCCAGCAAAACGAAAGTGACTCCTCATCAAATGTAAAAAGGTTCCAAATGGCAAAATGGCAAATTATATGATTGTATGTTCACTCATCGGCTGTAACAAGGGGCTACGGTCGGGCAGGCCAGTCTTTTAGATGTGAATTCCGTAAGCGCTGTTGTACACGTTAACCCACTGGGCTAACGTGTACGCCGTTGCTTACCCCGACGGAAGACTCTGCGGTCTGCTCGTCTATAGAGTATGGGGCAGGCTGTTCTGAGTTTGAGTACCCTGTTGGCGGCGAGGACCGGGAGAGCTTGATGGCTTTGTTTAGGGACTCGGGTGGAGTGGAAACATCGTCAACCTTGACGGGTCACTTCATGTGCTCATCAGTACGAGAAAAGGGGAGCCAAGACAATAATAGTCACCAAGGACTGGCTGTGCCATTCGCATCTTACTTTCATGGCCAAGAGTTACAGACTTTGTGTCGGCATGATTTGTTTCCTTACCATCGACTTACAATCCAGAGAACACTGCATTGAACCTGACTTCAACAGTACAAAACCGGAGTCGTGACTCTCCTCTCTCAAGTTCCTAAAATAGATTTCTATCAACCCTTGATCTTCATCAGCTCACCTATAAAGAAACAGGATACCCCAGAAATTTATCAAGGCGGAGACTAGAACCGACGATCTAGGCTAGACGATCGTAGTCCAGACCTCTTCCAGACATGTGTGGCGTACGGAGGCTATGAGGCGGCGGATGACGACGCCTTTCTTGAGACGGCAGCGCGGCGGGAGTCGTCACTCGCGCCCTAGGATCGCGGCCGTGAGCGGGATGGAGCTGACGACGGACACCTAGGCAGCAACCCCAACGCGAAGTGTTTTTGAAAGCAGAAAGCTAGGATGAAAAATAGTCACTTATTCAGGGCAGATGCGGTATCTCTCCAAGTCTGACTCTGTAAAATTAGGCTACAGCATAACGATGTCGGCGTGCCTGCCTTCTACCCGACGGTGACTCGACGTCGTTGGCCGAAAAAAGGGTACCATACCCAGCACCCGCGGAGACGAGAGGTCCAGATGCACTTTGTTGGTTCGAGCTTCCTCGTATTGAACGTTCACTTCAGCCTCTAAACTTGGGACGAAAAATGACTCCAAACTGACCAACGAGATGAGGTGCACCGGGGGCTGCGCGAACCCCAGAGTCCAGGGTTCAAGAAACGTTCAAACCGCTCGACGTGTGTGGCTTGGCTTGAGCCTCGGGGAGAATCTCGCGTCGCGAACAATGGTAGGGATGGGGAGAGAGGCACTTGCGGTGTGGCGGGTTCGGGACTTGAGGGGGGATATGCTGGCTTTGTTGCTTGCTATAAGCAGTGCCTCCTCGCTGAGAGAAGGGCAGCCTGAAAGTCACATCTTTGGTCTGATGTTTCTGACAGCGCCCGAAAAGTCAAATGCCATCTGCAAAGAAGGACCTTCTCGCTTCGCCCTCGCGTCAATTAGTCGCATGTTGTGACTTTGTGGCGTATTTTTGCATACGCATGTTTGCGTGGACCAGAGTCAGTTGTAGGCAGGATATCTCGGCGGATGTGCAGGGGCTCCCGGTGCGGGACTCCGCCGTGCCTCCGCTTCGCCGTGACGGTGCCGATGAGAATGTGGGTCGCGAATCGGCCTTGTCCCCGCTCTTTTCCTCGGCCATTCCGGCGGTGCAGGGTGAACACTTAAAGTTGGCGATGGCGGGGGAAACTCTCTCTCTCTCTCTCTCCATCCAGACTGCATTGCGATGATGGGAATCGGAACCGGCACAGTTGACACGGGGCAAGGACGTTGGGAAACGTTTAGGACCTTTGACGTTGCAGCAGTCGTTTCTCGCGAATAGGCGCTACTGCGGCGCACTTGCGCCCCCTGTGTTGTGCCGGATTCCTGATGTGGTGGGTGTTCTGGCCATGCAATGGCCCCAGTAAGCCGCCCCCCGGTTCCAACGGCTCAGGATAGAGTTTCTGTACTGCTTCGCTGGGCGGGTAAGTCGGAATTAAGACACGTCAATTTTCGGGGACCAACCATAGAATATGGAATCTGTGCTTATGCAGACTCTCCTAAGGTACGGTAAGATATTCATAGCTGGGCGCTGTCTGGAAACTTGACGGCGGGACCCGTGCTCCCAAACGGCGATCGAGCGGGGAGGGAGGGATTTCTTGGGTTTGACGACGTCAGCAACTAAGGGTAGTGTGCTTCGTTCACCAAAGTCTTCCGAGCATCGGTGCCGAACGAGCTCATGCCTAGTGTATTTCACATGTTGTAGCGTTCTACGGGAGATCTTGGACATGTGGGCGATGTGGAATCCCGAGATAGATGCGATTGCTTCTTGAGTGAGCAAGGCTGTCAGAAGTGATCTATGGAATCTGAACAACAGTGATCAAGAATTTGAGATGCAGTTTACCGCATGCAGCATATCGCCAATTCGACCCACACTGACCATCACGAGTTCACGACGTGGCTGGAGATGGATTTCGGGTGGAAAGGGCATCGAAGCATCGGAAGAAAACGCCAAGCCTTCTGTGCATCGATGGACCGTTGGTCTGGTGGTGATGGTGGTGGGGGGTGAGATGGGGGAAGGGGGTGGCTCTCCCCGTCTGCTTCTGGCGTCAAGCTTCAGAAAGAAAGGGCACGATGAACAGAATGTAAGCAACAGAGACAAGAGGGTTTTGCAGCGATACGCTCCATGGGATAAGCTTATTCAGGGATATCATGTACCACTGCCGTTCAGGTCTCTGCGAGAGTGTCAGCTATTCATACGGGCGTGGATGATCAACGGGCAGCCGGTCTACGCGAGTCCACCCTGTTCAAGTTGTCTCCATATCCCACTTTACGCCATGGGAACTATCGGGAATGAAACTGACGGCTCTGCTGGAATACTACCCAAGTATCGCTTGTCACTTGAAGCCTCGAGACCTTGCCAGTCTTCACTGTCACCCCCGGCGCAAAGCTGAAGCCGACCACCGACACGCCACCGACGCGAGTCCGACGTACCCGAGTCAGGCGTCGGCAACCCCTGTACCGCAAGGTCGTGGTTCCGACGGGAAGAACAAGAGAGACACACAAAAAAGGACTAGACGTTTTTGCTAGGGCTGGACTGGACGCCCTAGAGGGAGAGTTGTTTTGTTCCCTTTTCGGGTAAGTAGTGTTCACATCCCGGTCCCAGCATCACATCCCGTCGCCCGATGGCGGCTATAGAATTGGTCAATGCAGCTCTGTCGGAGCCGAAAGGGCACCGGTGAATCTGGAGCCTCTGGAGAAGCCTGGACGGTACGGAAACAGCAGCAGTCAATAGTCTTTCAATGCATGGCGGAATTAACGGTTCGAAGGTTTTTGGAGAGGGAGGCAGCCACACGGGAGGACAGGTCCAGGCTTTTTACTGAGTTTCTGCCGATCTGATCACTGCCCATGGTCCCATGATGTCGTTGTGAGGGCATTCGCATTGGGTGAAGACCGTCCCATCCGAATTATTCTCAGCTGCTTCAGCTGAAGCTGAGAGATTTTTCTGAGATGGGGACACAGCAATTAAAAAAAACTTGTCTGAAATTTTCGTTTTCAATGGGGAGCGTAGTAAAAAGGGGCCGCCCACTTTGCGAGACGCCGAAATGCCGGGCAAAGTCCCATGGTAACACAGAATCTACTCAGTGTCAGTCTAGAAATCGGAGTGGAAATGAAGTGAGAAAATATCACGGGAGAAAACCAACCGTCTGACCCACGCAAAGAGTGGTAAGTCCGTGGAGCACCGCGCGAAGATCACGGAATGGCGAGTTTTTACAGAGTACAGATACGGAGTATGAGTCTGAGACTCTGCAGGGCTGATTTTGGTTTTGTGGCTCTGCAGAGCTTAACTGACACTTTGGTACCGGTGAGTCTCATCGCTGCCCTCTTGGACTCAGAGCCTCAGACTGAACTAGACGGTTGAACCCCTCTGCGGACACATGCCAGTCCAAGTCCAGACCACCTTGGCAAACTCGCGCAGAGTGAAGCATAGCTGCATCTCACAGAGATACAGATCCCAGAAACGCTCATACATATGTCATCCTTGTCATTGAGGGATGAAATGATATCATAACGGATGAGGCCAAGCTCGCGTTTTACGGGTACACACCACTCCCACTCACCCCTCACACACACACACACACACACACTCTGCATGCTCCGTACACTACGGTCCGCGGTCCACGGAGACAAGACATTTGACAGAAAATAAGGTGTTCTGAATTTCTGAGCCAGTGCCAAAACTAGACTGGATAAGGATTAGCTCCCGCAATGATTGCTGGGAAACCAAACCGATCGAATCCGCAGCCAGCAGGGAAAATAGCGCGCCTACGAAGTACTGAATCATTCACCCACATTTCCTCTCCCTCACGCATACCTTTGTCTCACTAGAGGTTCTCCGTGAGAGGCCCTCTCTCTCAACTTGTGACGGGGCCCAGTGGCTCCCCTTCCCTTCTGCTATTCCCGGGACGTCTCCGCTCGTCTTCGGGCCTCGACTTCTGCAAAACACGCGATTCGTCTCCGGCGTCCCGGGATCGAATGGGTCCCAGCCCGAATCAGCTCCTTGAGAGAGAGAGTCCTCTCTGGCCCTCTATTTGTCCAGTCCTGGCTTCGAAACAACGCGCGAATATTGCGCTGTTACTCTACGTCTCGGGTTGCCATCGGACTGCTTCTTCAGAGTTCCGATATATGCGTTGTAGTACTCTGTACTGGCACTTGGTCTAGATACTGCAGACAAGCACATCTTTTCCCACAGTCTCAAAGTATCTCTTCCTACTCATAGACTCACACACCGAGAACATGCCCATCCTCATCCTCACCAGCCGTCCACTCACCCTTCATGTACAGACGGACGGTGGCCCACCATAGCTCTTTGGTCTCATTATTGACCAAGCCTTGCACTGTTCACACACCCCCCTCCCCCTCCCTCTCCATATACGTACACCGTAGACCGGCGCGGCACCGAATACCGAATTCCAGACGCGACGGACTGGGATAGAAAACCAACTGACCCCATATGCAGGTACTCGCTCTCATGTCTTCGTCCACGCATGCCGGGCCAGCGTTGACATTAATACACACCGTCATTGGTTCTAGCCCATGGTTCTCGTGCTCTCGTTTCCCCATGGTTCCATCGACTCTCCATGTATGTACCCTGTTGTCTACAAGACTGTCTGCTTCCCACACACACACCCCTTCCCCCGGTCTCCTGTCCTGTTTCTGGTCATTGCAGAATCGTCACATCTCTTTCTGGTGCCGTCTTCGGAGATCTTTTGGCGATGCTTCGCTCTCACACCGAGGACTGAGGATATATAAGTTGCCCTTGCCCACCCTCGCCTCCTCGATCACGCTACTGCCCTCCACCTCCACGCCTCCCTCTTCGCCTCTTCATCCCACAGATCCATCTACAACACTATTCTCAGGTCTCACACTAGTTCGCCATCCATCAACGCTACCGTGATCCTTGTATTGCTACACCAATCTCACGAACCATCCCATCTACTTTGATCATCGTCAACAACAAAGTCTGGAAGAATATCCAAAACACACATCCACGCAATGGACAGCACATCACCAGAACTCCCGCCATACGCCATGCCCGTCGACTTCTCCTCAATGGTTGGCACAACCCCCTACGACATCATCGCCGCGCAGTTCACCTCACGTATCGTATGTCTACAGCCCACCGGACAACACAAATGAGACTCTTGAAACTCACAACTCGAACAGAACTCCAACGAGAATGGCTACTGCACTCCGACGTCACTATGGTCTAGCCCTCAAAGCCCGACCTCCAGCATCGACCACAGCAAGGCAGACGACTCGCACGATGACGCACACTCCCCCACCAGCGGATCCGAAGAGTCTTCAAAGCCCCAGAAAGGAAGACGGGGCAACAGATATAAGAACTGCAGCGAGTCAGTGCTATCAGTAAGTCGTTCCCCCGGCTTCCCAGCCTGCATTTTCATCCCCGAGCCCGTGTCCAGTAGCCCCGTTTTTTGGCGAGCATCGGATCCCCGATTTTCATCTTCCGCGGGCCGCATCCGAAGGACTGCAAATAAGGAAAAAGAGACTGACCACGTTTGATTCCCCCCGTATAGAAGCGCCGCGCCCAGAACCGCGCCAACCAGCGCGCCTACCGAAAGCGCAAGGAGTCTCGACTCGAGGAGCTCCAGGCCCAGATCCAGGACATGAGTCAGAAGAACGACGCGCTCTGCTGTGCTTACAGACTCTTGGCCAACGAGTGCTGCAGGCTCCGCGCGAGCCAGCAGATGTCTGCTGCTGTTGCGGGGCAGGCTCCGGCATGGGACTTGATGAGCAACACCAACGCCAATAACGGGGCCGGGAGCTTGGCATTGGACATGTCTGCGCTCGACGCATACCGCATCGTTCCTCCTCCCGTCTCGACTTCGAGTCCCGTCCCCGAGTCATATCTCGACTATCCCGGGAGCCCCGATAAGTTGTGGAGCCCCTATTGATCGCGAATCCAGCGGGCTGCGGAAGAGAGGGAATGGATCGTCGGGATCGGGATTTGAGACCGGGTGATGGGAGCCGGTGATTACGGGGATAACGACTTATGGGAGCTCTATTGCCTCATTCTTTTTTTTTTCCCCTCTTCATTCTCTCTTGACGATCTTGATAGGGCTTTGCAGAGTGGGGGGTATTTCCCTGTTTCTATAAATGGCTTCAGGACCGAACGAGCGACTCTTTGGGATTTTCGCGAACGGAGTCTGGTGTTTTATTCAGTACCCATTTCTTTTTTTAAGATAATTATTGTCGGACACAAGAGTCTCGACACGGCAGCCATGCCCAACACCTCCGCCAAGTTTCGTATGTTCCACGAAGCTTTTTGGTAGATGAATCAACAAATCAAAAAATTCAATCAAATCCAATATTGCCTCTGTTTTGGAATCCCGTATTCATCTTAGTCCACCTCACTTACAGGCTTTACAAAGCGGCACAGCCAGTCAACCAGCCACGCACGCTGTCCGGCCGTGGAAACCGTGGAAACCCTAATACCCAACAACCATGGCTTTCGTGAAGGAAAATGTATTTTTTGCGTCACCCTCGTCGTGGAATGACACGAACAAAGGGTCTGGATCAACACTTTGCCACAGGTCCTCCCGGAACGGTGTAAGTTGTTGGCTGTTTTTCGACCCCGCCAAGACATCAGCACGACTCGCTCACGATGACTTCACCTTTTTTTTTCCGTGGGCGGAAAGGTTTGCGCACGAGAAGACTCACCACTGGGTAGTAAATGTTGATCAAGATACCGGGCTCGTTGCCGGTGTATGCGCCCCTAGGTGATACGCGGAGATTAACACACCTGCCAAATCCTATCAAGGTTCCATTGCGACAGATTTTTTTTTTAATGTTCTTAACGAGAACGAGCCGCGCACCGTCCGCCCGCCCGCCGCCCTGCCGTGCAGGTGGAGTTGCTTTGGTGTGGGGAGGCGTTGGGATTGGGAGCATTGAATACGGAACAAGACTGGCCATATCTGTAAATGACATGGAAGCTAAGGAGACAACTCACGGAAATCCGACAGTAGGCGAGAACGAAGTGCCGCTCCCTGATCCCGTCACCTTGATCTGGGCGCACGAGATGTAGAACTGGGCTCCGGCCTTGGCGCTGGCGGAGTGTAGTCCAATCTGCTCGATGCGGAGGAGGTACTCTCCCGGGGCTAGACTCCGTCAGTACTCCGCGCTCAGCCATACATATATCACACACAAACGGAACGGGCGTTGATAGCATTTCCAAGTGCCCGTCCGTGATCACGGCTGCATGGTCCTGGATAAGGGGCAACACTGGGAAAGCACAGCAAGCACCATGTAGCACGAGTAAGTCGATACCCGACCATTCGACAGAAAGAACATGTCGTGACGTACGTGTGCATGAAGGGATTTGAAAGTTGAAGCCCGCCTGATTCGAGGCGGGGAATTTGATCTGCCCGTTGCCTGTCTGCGCGCCTAGCTCCCAGATCTTTGCCCAGGGACCGCTGCCATCATAGGTCGTGATGTTGGACCCCGCGGCGGGTGAGAGCCATACGATGACGGGCCCGTCGTGGTAGATTGCTTGGTCCATTGCGAAACCGACCTGCAGATGTGAATGCGTTGGTTAGTGAGTCGTGTTGAGTCGTGCCGACTTGCGGATCTTCGGGTGTAGGGTATTTTGACCATGGGAACACGGAAACGGGGAGAGGGTGAGGAATAGGGAGGCGGATAAGGGGGCGTGAAGAGGTGAGAGGGAGGTAGAGGAGTATTTACGGTCGAACCGGCCGCGACAGTGGCGATCTGCGTCGCCGGACCGGAGGAGAGGCCACCAGCATTGCAGACGATATCTTTGCTGAGTACGTCTGTGACGGGGCTGTTGTAGTTTGTGTTGCGCCGGACGTGGACATATTCGCCTGTGTTGACGCCCCCGACCACGAGACTCGTGAAGCGGTCTAGTTGGGGAGGACTGTCAGTTTGAGATGGGACGGTCTTCACTTGTTGGGCCTCTCACAGTGAGCAGAGACGAGATCGCTCAGGGCGACGAGCGTCGTGAGAATTGCAATGAATGCCTTCATTTTGGGACCTAAGGTAAATGCTCCTGGGAGTTATTGAGAGGCACAGTTTTCCTTAAACCCTTTACGGAATTTCAGCGCTATCCGCCTCAGGGGCGATGCCCGATAGTTAAAAAGTCATCGAGAGACCAACTTCCAACATGTTTCGTACGAATTGCCCCTGAGACCCTTCGAGCAGCTTAGACCACAATGACTACAGCTCCGTTCACTCCTTGCCTAATACACATAAAGGGGTGTTGACGTTATATTGCCGAGACGTAACGATGTTACAAGACTGGATATAGCCGGTGAATTCTACCGCGTCACATGAGAGCCCAGGCCTTTCATCTTGGCCTCCTGGTTCGTACGGCGCGTGAGTCAAAGTCTACTCTCGTAGTGCCAAGTGGTAACCTATGTAAATGGCGACGCTGTCTCTGTGTCGCTCACACGCAGGATACTTGGTCTTCTGTAAGGGCTGCAAGTCTTATGTGTCCATCCGATTGGATCGCTCTCAGTATTTCGGCGCCCTGAAAGATACATCAGTAAGCTCTTCAAAGCGGAGAAAAGACTGAAAAGAAACATCATGAAAAGGGTGAGTCCTCAAGCGTCTATTGCGGTAACGACTCAACCCATCGAATGGGCAGACAACGTTATGTTTGCAGATCACAGCGCAAAACAACAAGAACACCTCTCATTGCCTCTTGTTTGCAACCATCTATCTCTAATCACGAAATCTGTTGTTTCTTGACATCATCAAGTATCGGGCCGACTCCAATCAAGGTCACGGCAGCTATTCAAATGTACTACTCAACCGCATACAATAGACTACCCGTACGAGACTACCGTTGTTTCTCCGACTCGGAAGCGAACTCTAATAGAGCGGCCTATTTCAAAGTCCGCGATACTCCTCGGCGTGAACATGGGTACAGTTCGCCTTATCAGCGGGGCTTGCGGAAGCTCTGATCCCGAAGGGCAAGGGTGGAGGTGTTCCACTTCCCGAGCGGGCCGGGATCGATCCATTTTCTCGCTCCGGGCCGGGAGACCGGAGGTATTCCTGATATGTTCTAGTCTTATGGAAAGCCGTTGATCGTGCTGGAAGCGACTTGATATGAACCAGCATGTCATCTGTGCTCAGTTCGAATCCTCATGAGATGAGTTGGCCAAGATAATCGGATCCGCTCTAAGGCCATTCCCGCTCGCTTCTGTTGTATTATTGTCATGATTTTACTGGAAGAAGCTCTTATGGACTGGATTGATTACCAGGCCGTGGCATGGGATTGATATGTCAGTGGCCGGAGGGAAAGAGAATGTACCGTTTAGAGCTCGGAGGCTGAGGCTCCGGGACACTCCGTTTCACAATCCCGGATAGCTTCTAAAAAGGAGTTTGATGTTAATATAAATCACCCACTCAGAGTGCTTTGAATCTCAAAGCAGATATTACAGGACTGGCTGTAGACTCATATACAATCGATATCACGAGATACGCAATTATGGCGGTAAGGCGGTAATGGCACCATGTGTTGTGAACCCAGATTATCATTGCCCATGGCTCTAGCCACCAGCACTTGGACCACAAGCTTCAAAGAAATACGTGCAAGACGTTGGTTCTCAGTGCCCCTCAATATTCTCTATAATCACCTTCCTCATTTTGCAGTCCGCTGTAGTGGTGACATCAAACTACTGTGGGCAATGCTTCTCAGCAACGTTGAACTCAGCCGAGGCTAACAGTTGCCAAGTGATCTACACGGCTAAAATACTATCCCATACAAGCTTAATTTAAGTAGATTGCAGAGTCCGGGGTGCATTTCATCCCCGGCAAATGGACGGCTCACGTGCTATGCACGACTTCTGCCGGTGGCTACATCACTTTCATCACGGCGGTCAAGATCCACAGTTGCCCTATGTTCAATAGGTGGTTCTTTGCGGGTTCTCCCTTGTGTGTAGGAGAAGCCAGTGATGGGGCGTCAAACTTTGTGGATGGCCGTCTTGATGGTGACTTTGGGTGTGTCATAGTTGAAGCACGTCCAAGCATCCAAGAGATCTTGTCCGAGAGAGGTAGCCGACAACTAAGGATAATGGCTCTGGGTGCTGTGTGGGAGGTAGTTGGAGACGCAAAGCACACCCTCGACCACTGGTCTGTTACCGTTCAAAGCCAAGTCTCGTGGTCCAAGAATGCCGCTCAGCATTGGCTGACGCATATTGGACACAACCAGGTCAACTCAGCATCTGGTACTGTCTCCCGGTCCAGAGCAAACAGCCCATCACGCGATGCACCATGTTCCGGGCCATGTACCGGAGACCCGTCAACAGCCGAAGTAATCCCACCTCTCATCGTTGCCGCGTAGAGGATCTGGTAGATTACCAAGGTTGATTGAGCCCCCTTCCCAATCACGACTGCTCTCCGGGGTAGCATCAGGGAAGCTGAGCCTCCGAGCCCTTTCACCACGACCTGGCGAAGAGAATGAACAAACGTCCTGCTTCCCTTTAAATGATGAGTACAGAGCCAAGAGCCTGCAAACGTGGTTCCCTCCCTCTTCGTCCTTCTTTTCGAGTCAGCTCCTGCTCAAGTATACGCTCGTGTTCTCTGACCAGACGCAACCTAACGGATCCGCCGTCGCCATGAAGTTCTTCACCGCCGCCGCCGTTCTCTCGGCAGCCGTCTCGGAGGTCTCGGGGCACTACATCTTCCAGCAGCTGTCCGTGGGGTCCACAAAGTACGATGTCTTCCAGCACATCCGGAAGAACACCAACTACAACTCCCCCGTTACTGGTAAGTGCCCTCATCACTCGATCCCGCGTGTGTTCTTTTCCTGGCCAGAAGATACTGAACCTCCCGACAACAAGACCTCGCCTCGAACGATTTGCGATGCAATGTTGGTGGTGCCAGCGGTGCCCAGACTACGGTGGTCAACGTGAAGCCCGGCGACGCCTTCACCTTTACCCTCGACACGGCCGTCTACCACCAGGGCCCCATCTCGCTGTGAGTACTTACTCGACCGCTGCAAAATATCGTCTGCTGACCTATATCCAGCTTCCTGTCCAAGGCGCCCTCTCACGTCCAAGACTACGACGGGTCCGGAAAATGGGCCAAGTTCAAAGACTTCCTCCCGACCTTTAGCAACGGCCAGGCAACCTGGCCAATGAGACGTAAGACGACAACATCGTCGATTCCTATCAGTCATGAAAGACATCGAAACTGATCTTCAGCACCTAGAAACCTACGAGTACAAGATCCCGACGTGCCTCCCTAACGGCGAGTACCTCCTGCGCGTCCACCAGCTGGGCATCCACAACCCCTACCCGGCCGGCATCCCGCAGTTCTACATCTCGTGCGCTCAGATCAACGTCACGGGCTCGACTGCGTCCGCGAGCTCGTTTGCGCCAACCCTGAGTATCCCTGGTGCTTTCAAGGATACTGACCCCGGGTATACTGTCAATGTGAGCGTCACTCCCTGTGGTAGAGTGCAATGCTGTGCTGTGCTGTGGTTTGCTGACATTACAGTTGTAGATCTACCAGCCCGGATTCACGTCGTATGTGGCTCCTGGTGGCGCGGAGGTAAGTTTTGCGTGTTGAGGTGACTTGACGTGTCGAGGCTGACGATTATGCAGTGGACTTGCTGAGCTTTGGTTTCGTGATTGATGGAGAGGGTCGTGGCATTGGGTCTTTCGCCTCATCATTCTCGTCCGGTTCCATGGCTAGGAATACATGGTTTGGAGACCTTGATAATGTCACAATCAGACACTTTTTACACAAGCTTGTGTTTGTTTCCCTGGCAAATTGCCTTTTCCTCAACGTGGGAACAATGACTCGCTGTTGTGTGCTACTTGGCGTTCTCCAGGCTTCTGGGTCCAAGTAAGTCGGGGCCGGGCTTTTATCAATTTCGTCAAAAACGACGAGACTCTGAGCATTGGACCCTGATACGTCCGCAGTGCATAGCTTTGGCGTTTGAACAAGCCAAAGAACGCAAATTTGGCATCAGATTGAACCAAAGTGCTCGAGGTCCCTGATTCTCAAAGATAAGGCCATGCGATACCAAAATGGTGGTTATCAGATTTATGCATCTTGTCGGGGATTTATGTAACGGGCCGATTGCCAGATCTCGACCCTCACACAGCATGGCTCTTGACCGATGGAGGCTCCAGCTTGGTATCCCTACAGGTCCGCGCGTGGCATGTGTGGGATCTCGTTACATTCTGGATTCTGGAGTAAGCAGGCTTCTCCAGACTCCGCGCTGTCTCGTGATGCGCAGTTGAGGGGTATGTGAAGACTAGGCCGGAGATCGGTCAGACCACCAACCCCGTACCCAGCCTGCACCCAGCCCGCCGTTTCTGTAGCCACTGGGCCGCCAGAGACACGGGGACGACCCATCGGCCCCCGCGATGCTTCCCCGGGAACAGACCGGTCTGGCCTCACCGCCCACAGCGTGCCGAAGTCGTGGAAACGCTGGAGCCGGTGCCTGGCCATTCTGTAGCCCCTCGATTTGATCATGTGAGCGTAGCCGCACCGGCCATCGTTCGAGGCCGCGTAGCCAGTACGGTGGCGATTCGCTCCATTGGAAGAGCGGTAGCGGCAGCGGCTCTGCTCTCGCTCCGTATCCGTGCCTGCATCTCGAGCCTCCCATGCTCTCCGACGTCATGGTAGGCGAGGTCGTTAACCTACCGTCTCGACTGTACTTTAGCTGGATTGAAAGTTGGACTCTTCTCCGTTGCCGCTTTCCCGGGAGGCGTTGGAGCCATTTCAAACTTTGTCTGGTGTTTCGAGCGAACAAGCCCCGTCCACCGAGATGCGTCGGCGCTCGACTGCGGGCGAGCTAGGGATGGTCATCGATACGCGAGGATTCTCCAGCAAAAGCGCGCTGGCGGAGAGAAAGAACCCCGCGTTCCTGGAGATATCGGGCCTTTGGTGGGACTGCTGGTATATTCGCAAGCGAGACCTGCGCGAGCGCCCGCAAATGAGGCGTCTGAGACGGAGCCCATACTCATTGCCAAGCGGCCTGTGAACGTTGCGACGTGCTGTGCTGTGCGTTAAGTCGTTGGCTAACGGGTGGTGATGGGATAACAAGGTGGTGATGCATGTTGAGAGATTGTTGTTGAGAACACGAGGAGTGCCTACAAAGGCTAGTACATCGAACGACGTCCGTATATCGATTGTGAGGAGGCGTTGAGGATGTAGTAGTGCCAACAGGTTCGGGGGCGCACATTGGGCGGCTCAAGTGAAGTCGTCGTGGGTTTGCGGCGTTTTGCGCCAGGATTGTTGGCCGAAGCCGGGATGGAGCCCGGGGCAAAGACAACGAAGAAGCGCCGAGAGAGGCAGCGGGAGTGTGGGCGACTGGGGAAGAGGCGCTTAAAAGAGCGAGATTATGGAACACGGCCGATCTGACAAGACTGACAGGCATCGGGCCGGATGGAGACGTTTGGCTGGGATGAGAGTCATTGTCGACAGTAGTAGCGATTGTACGAGACTTTCGTACAGAAGTCAGTGCTGGAATGGCAGCTGTCACCCGAACCGACGGGATGGGCAGGCACGCCGCACGATACCTTGGTAGTGATGCAGAATGGTCGACACAGCAGAGTACTGTACCCGTACGAATACAATCAAGTTCATGGCGGCGAGCATAGGCGCGGGCAATAACGGGCGGCGGTTGAGGGGTGGGGACGCGGAGACGGCGACTGTCGAGATGGTGTGAGGGCGGCCGAATGAAAGATGGTCGGTGAATTCCGAGTAAAGCCACTGACGTGTTTTGGCGATTCGACGATCTGGTGACGGTTTATGCTTGCAGCAAACACTTTTGCGTGGTTTGTTAGTAATTCCACTAAAGCGAGCATGTCAATGGATGCCGTGGAGTTTCTCATTAATCGTGAAAAAAATACATTTGAGACTATACAAAAATGAAGATGAACAAAAACTTTCATGTCGCAGCTGACGATGAAGGTGGAAATTCTGTAAAGAATAGCAGCGAGAGAAATAGCGTTGGAGATGAAGTGGTGATTGCGCAGCGAATGAGAGCAGCCAGTATGAGAAGTTGCGGATCCAACATGGAGCAGTGAGCAGGGGAGAAGCGTGGGCACATTAAGGTATTGACGGGGCAGCTGCGAGGAAAACGGGCCGAAAGTGAGTTTCGACTTTTCAGTCGATCATGGCCAGGGGTCCCTCACCTTAGCACCTTAGGTACCTCTCAGGCTCTCACACTCAGTCTGACACTTTCACTCTCATAGGGAGGCTCACTGAATGAGAGTGAGACTTTGGAGAACGACACTGAGAGTGAGAGTGAAACTGAGACTGAGCCGAGGCCAGGCGATGATTGCCATGACCCAGCGAGTCGGGAACGTAAGGCAGCATGTCAGATGTCTCGAAATGACTGGGCAGGACTCGCCGCAGATCACGAGGGTGACACGATGCATGAGGTGAGAGGAAGAAGCTGGGCGAGAATGGCCATGTCCATCGTCAATCAAGCCTTTAAAGGAAGCAAACGCTGTGAGCTTGTGAAGACGGCAGTTGGCGGAGCCGGCCACGGCGGGTCTTGGCTGCATTGTTAGTTGCTTCATGGGTTCACCCACATCCTTATGTAAGCTCATCAATCGAAAGATCTCATTCGAGGCAGAGAAACAAGACTTGTGTGTGAGAATCAAAGTGAGAGAGAGAAACGGAAGAGTTGCGACTTCCTTGGCCGTTGCTTGTTTCCTTCCAAGCTCAGCGATCTGCTTGGCTGATTGAATCGCCGAGAGTCCACGACTCCACATTGAGAAAGAGTACGTATCGCTAAGCGATGTCCTCGGGCGGCGACGCGGCGTGACCGTTGTGGGGTCTCCACACAACTTTCAAGTTTCCCCAGCCCGCCTCTACAAGCGACGCCGTCACTGGCTGGCGAGCTGCAAACCGCACATTCTCTCGCTCCCATCTTATTCCTCTCGCCCACATTTCGCACGTTCAAACTCCACCTCGATGCTTGATGGCTGAAGCCTCAAGGTCAGGTACCTGATTAGCGATCCGAGAATGCACGGAGTACCTCGGACAGTGTACCTCGATCGATCACAAATCCCCGAGTCTGCCTGCAGTCTCTACTTCGTACGGATACAGTACCATCAGCATCAAGGGCAATAGTTGCGATACAAGGTGAATTAACACAACGCTTCGTCCACTCTGTTTGGCGCCAGCTAAATGGACGTCTAGGTACCTTACGCGATGCCAGGCCCACGTTGAACCCAAAAACAGACGCAAACCAACAATGAATCGAACCATTGCGGATAGCACACAATAACCAGAAGGGAGGGGCGTGTTTTATCTCACCAGAAAAAGCTGCCCCACGGCCCACGGCCCACGCCCTGCCCAAACGCCCTGGCAATCTCCAAACTCCCCGCCCTTTCTCCATCTTCTCCATGTCCTCCAGTTCTCCAGAAAACCTTTGCCAAAGTCTTGGGCGAACGACTCGCGGGGATGCACGAGATGCACGAGATGCCACTCGATGCGACCCAGAAAAAGTTTTCCACCACACCCAACTTCACCAAGATCACGTACTCCGTATCCGTACCATCGGGCGGGAGCAATCACGTTGTCCTCTTCAAAGTCGGTCGCGCCGATCAACGTCGACCTGGCTCTACCTTGTAGGTTTGTAGGCTTGTAGGCTTGTAGTGCTTGTCTGATGAACCGTTGGGGGCGTTGCTCATGTGCCCTTCCCGTGCTTTAAATCCAGCCTCGATATATTTGCCTTGCCTGACTGGGCCAAGCCGTAGACTAGACGCGTAGAGCAGAGATCTGCCGCCAGCCCACGTCTCTTGATTTTTGAACTGCCAACCTACGTGTCTACGTATTGCGCCTCTTGTCGCTGGAAAAAGAAGCCAATTGCTGTGAAACACTTGCTACCGACCGGAGCTACCCCAGAGTCTCTTCCCCCCCTCACTCCCTCTCTCCCTTCTCCTTCACACCCTCTTACCTGACTAGCGCCGGCCATTCCCCTGCTGGGGCTCATTCACATTTGCTGGGGGATGAGGGGGACCCATGGGAAACCTGGTGGGCTAAACTGGCGACTCTACGGCTGCGGATACACCAAGGTAGTCTGTTTTATTGTTTCTGGTTTTTTTTATGGTCTACCTCCCCTGCCCCCTCGCTCGTGGGATCGTCACAACTTTACAAAGTATCCAATACTTGATTCTTTGCTATCCAAATGCCTTGATGTCTTCGTACTAGGTTCCGCGAGCCCACGATCAACCCACACTCTCCTTCTTCCTCCCTCCACATCCCAACATCACCTCGTGATCGTCCATCGGCCCTATCCTGACCTGTTGGACGTCTCTCCACATGGTTTGTCTGAACTTGAGGTCAATTACACCCCCCCTTTGCAGAAGAAACCTTGTTGCCTTGTCATGGCCCGCCTACGGAATACGGATACCACGAAAAGTCCTACTAGGTAACTCAGGGAACATGCGGTAGCACCGTGGCACCTCTTCCACTTTCCCCCCACCTTGGGGAAGGTTTCCTGTTGTGTGGGAGCTCCGCGTCGTACCGCATTCTGGGGACGAGTTTATATGCTCGTCGTTTCCTCCCATCTTTTCCCCAGATGTCTTTCTTTCTTCTCCGTCGTCGCGCTCAAGCCTTTCACTGCCCAACACTTCTTGTCAGACGC